TGAAATTTGTGCCACGCCACTGTTAAAAAAGCTCGGACACACTACCACAGGGCCTGTAAAATGCATTTGTGTCCAACCGTATTTATTTTTTTATTTAAAACTTTCATCGAAGAACCTTGGTCCTTCTTTAAAATTTGTTGGAGAAGCATAATTTTAAATCCATATAATTTGTTTGATTTTTGTTACAGGTCCTTATGCTTTTATTTTTTAGTATTTTAAATTCCCACAACATCATTCATAAAGGGACCTAGATCATCAAAAAATAAAATGTAAGAATCAATAACACCTGAAAAAATACAAGAACTTAAAATAAAACTCGAGCAAGGTGAAAAAACTAAAATCATGTCTTATGCCATTTTTTAAAATTTGTGATCTTTCATATTTGCGAATCCTCTTATAAAGTTCTGTGACTGTCATTCTCCAGTAACCAGCGCCATCTTTGAAATATTATACTCATAATAATTATTTATCCTTGACAGAATCCTGTATACATTTCCCACGAGAGTTGTTTGCAATTTGAATTTCTTTATAACTTAAGAGGTAATATAACTGGGGAATGCTAAGGACATGAAGAAAATAATATTTATTATAAAGGATCTTAAAAATTGTAATTATTGAGAACGACCAAATACCAAAACATAAATTTTTTAAAAAAATTGCCCTTAATCAAATCTCCTCTATTTTCTCTAATTAACCGCATAAGTGAAAAAAAAAAATTTGTGCCTTGAAGATTTGCAAGTTTAAAATGGAAGAGAAGTTAAATATCATTGTTACATGGTTGCCGAATGAATTCAAGTTTGGACATACACAAGTTCTGCAAGCTTCAACGCATCATCTCCAATTTTTATTATATATGATCAACAATGAATTTGACAATAATTGCAATAATTTTTAAAAATAAATATTTTTTAAGATATATTAATGTAATCTTTTTAAAAATAATGGATTTAAAATTATATTCAATTAATTATGTAAAAGTAATTATTTTTTAGAATATACTGATTTAATTAAATTTAATACTATATTTTTTTATTTGTGTGGAATTGAAATCTGCGCAGCTTTATTTTTAAAAGCTTTTTTTTTTTTGTAACTTCTGCAGTACCGTTTTTAAGGTATTATTAACAGGTTTTATGTTAAAATTATAATAGTTAATAACATTATCTTAATCCTTTAGCCTAATTCTAATTTTTATAGTCCTTCATGATAAATATTATTTTCTCCTGGTCCTTAGCAATAATTTTTCCAATATAATTTATCCAGGTAACTAATTTTTCAAGATTTATTTTTACAATTAGTGGAAAGAACTTTCACATTTGATTTTTCTTTTAAATATATTTTTTTTACTCAAGGTATCCCCACCATTTAAGAGATTATTCTTTTTCAAATAATATTTTAATATTTTTTTATATATTTTTTTAAGAATTAAACTCTGGAATAATATTTAAGGGCTTCAATCACTGGCATAAAAGCCACATTTTTTTTAAATACTTTGAACTTAGTGAACTCTTCAATTCTTCACATACTCCCTATGATTCTATTTACAAAGTAGAGAGAGAATGATTTTTTTAATTTTATTTATAAATTATGTCATTAAATTTTTATTATAAATTTCTTATTTTACCCTTTGTTAAATATAGGAGAGAGAAAATATATTATTGAAATATGTATATTTAATAAAAAAATTTAAAAATTTATTAAATTTTAAGATAAAAATAAAAAAATTTAATTTTTTTAATATTGATAAAATATATTAAAAATAATTTATAAATAGGATTATATGAGTTTTTTTTAAGGTTGGTTCTTGATGTCTTTAACTGTTAATGGGGCAGGATTGTGTACGGCAAGATGGTCCAACATAAGGGAACAGGCCCACACAAGGACAACCTAAAAAGTCCACTGAACCACACACGCGAAACACACTATTACGTATTAATATCTTCGTTTCATTATGAAACTTCCTTTATGGCCCTGGGCATTATCCAGCTTTTCTGTCTCCGTTTTTACAAAAAAAAAAAAAAAAAAGGAAAGACAAAACGGAGAAAGACAAAATAATTCTCTCTCAAATAAAAAAAATGATAACTTGATCTTAAAAAATGTGATAATAATAGTAAGATTTTAAGAGACTTCTTTAATGTTAAATTTTCATATGATATTACTTTAATGCCCACCTATAATTAATTTTATATGGTTCATAAATTTAGTTTCACCAATAAATAAAATGATTTAGAAAATCATAAATTTTTACTAGCAATTTTTTTTCATTCAGTAAAAGTCTAACTAATTTTACATAATTTATAAATTTGATATAAGTATTTGTAAGTTTAATTTTATTATTGACTAAAAAAATTTTAAAAATTATAACTTTCTATCAATAAAATCTAACTAATTTTATATTGTTTACAAGTTTGAAATAAATACTTGTAAGTTTGATTTTATTACTGATTAAAAAATTTTAAAAAAAAAATATTCTAAATCATAAAAGGATACTAAAGTAAATTCATACAAAAATTTAATTTCAAAAAAATCTTTTAAATCCTCATAGTCATTATCACACTTCAGAGGACAAACTAATTAGTCATTAAAATGGGATCAATAAAATAGCCAGTCTTCTAATATTGTTGAGTGTTGACTGACAAATTTTAATTTTGGAAAAATGATAAATGATGTGATTTAATTACTAATGAGTCCAAAAAAATATAAATTTTTGCTTTAGTCTTGGAGGACTGAAATGAGAATGATTTCAATGATAAAAAGACTAAAATACCATTCACTTATTAATTTTGCTCTAGATGTATAATTATTAGTTGTTAATTTTTTTACTTTACTTGTTAATTTATTAATATGAATTTGTAAATTACATAAATTGACCTGTGAATAATTATATAAGATTTGAATATCAGTTATTCAATCACAAGTAATAATATCTACCGATAAGTTAATAATTTACAACTAATATTAGTAAATTAATAAGTAAAGTTAGTAAATTAACAGCTGATGTTGCTCTTTATTTTACAAACTAATGTAATTTACAACTCATATTAATAAATTAATAAATAAAATAAAAAATTAATAATTAATGATTATATATTTAGGATAAAATTAACAAGTGGATGGTACATTGACTTTTTACCATTAAGGGAACTGAAATTTCATTTCAATCCTCCTGGAGAGAACTAAAACTTCATTTTTGTAACATCCATTAATAATTAAATCATATTTATGGTGTTTAGTTGAAAGCCTCCCTTTAATCTTTGATGTTTGAAAAGTCAGCCCAGAAAAAAGTCAGATAATTGACCATCAGATCCCTCTTAGATTAAGATTTTTTTTTTTCGGTAATGTGTTAGATTAAGAATTAAGCACGCAATCAAGTATGAACACGTCTTTAACGCGTGGCTTACCGGGCTTGCTATTGTAAGCAATGAAGTGCCCTAGTCCACGTGTCAACAAATCCAAACTTCCATTCCACTTTATATTTTTACTTAGCAACCACCCGGGAACGATTCCAAACGTTACAATTGTCTTAACTATCATTGTTTTACCACTCTATATGACTGTTACTATTTACAAAGTTATTTTAAGAACTGTTATCTTACTCATATCATATGCTTATCTTTAAAATGAAATCTAAACCCTCTAAATTTTAAATATTATTATATAATTTTATATTATATTTATTAAAATAAAAATTATGAAATAATTTTAATAATATTTTTTATTTTAAATTTGATTTAGATTTAATTTAAATAATTTAATTTAATATTAAATTTTTTATAATTGATATGTATTGATTGTCTAAATGTATTTTGCACAATTCATGTGTGTATATATATATATATATATCAACAAGTCTAAACTTCCATTCCACTTTATGTTTTTACTTAGCGACCACCCGTGAACAATTCCCAGCGTTACAATTGTCCTCACTATCATTTTTTACAATTCTCCACAAATTTATATTAATATAAATGTCTTATGTATGTAATTGTTACAGTTTACAAAGGCTGTTATACTAGAGCCCATGGTATTGAAACCCGGACTGGACCGGCCGGGTCAACCCAGAAACCGGTGACCCGGTCTCTTGTTCGGTTTGGGTTTACTCCTAAACCGGTGACAAAATAAACCAGTGTAACTCGGTCAACCCGAGTTCAACCCGGTATAACCCGGTTAACCCGATGGGTTGACTGGATTAATCGGGTTATTTTTTTTTCATTTTTTATTTTTTAGAGTGCTGAATTTAGAAATAAGATAACAAAAAAAGTAAAACTAAAGTCAAAAAATAAAAAATTAGAGATAGAGCACGCTAAGTCCAATTCAGATTTTCAGACAACATTTATTTCGGCCTTTCATCTGTGTCTCTCCTCTCTCACCCTAACCTAATCAGTGTCTCTTCTCTAGCTTAGTCTCCGTCTCTTCTTCAGGCTCCAGCTCTATCTCCATCTCTTCTCCAGCTCTATCTCTGTCTTTGCTATCTTCATCTCTTCTCCAGCTTAGTCTCTGACTCTTCGTCTTTTTTCTAGCTCAATCTCCGTCTCTTCTCCAACTCTATTTCCATCTCTTCTCTAAACTTTTAATATTGAAGAGTTGTAAGTGTAATGATAGATATTTAAAATATTGTATTTTATTACTGTTAGACTTTTGAGTGGTTGAATTTAGTTGAATATTTTTATAATTAATGTCTTTTTATTTAAATTATATTATTTTAATCATGACTGGTTTGCCACCGGTTCAACCCTAATTGAACCACTAACCTGTGACTCAATACCATAACCGATTCAATGACGGATCCGGTTTTACTACGTACCTTGCTAGAGCCTCATCCTCAAAGCACGTTCACGGAAGCAGCAAAAACAAGTAATAATCGTGGACCAGTGGGCCCGTGTTAATGTGTAAGCAACTGTTCCCCGTGTCCGTGTCCACCTCGTAGGCACGTGTCCTTTATCATCTTCAGTCTTCACTTTCAGGTTTCGACTTTCGATGGCTAAGCTTTATATACTCCGACTCAGCCGCATTGGACTCCTCAGTCTCAAAACAACGGCGAAAAGCTTTGAAATGAACGTTTGCGGTAATCTCACAAGTAACTCAGAGGGATCCAGCTCACCGTCGCCCTCCGACGAAGAAGCGATCACATTGGCGTCGGCCAAACCCAAGAAGCGAGCCGGACGTAGAGTGTTCAAGGAGACAAGGCATCCTGTGTACCGAGGAGTGCGTCGCAGGGACAAGGACAAGTGGGTCTGCGAGGTTCGTGTTCCTAATAATAACAAATTAAGGATCTGGCTCGGAACCCATTCAACTCCTGAGAAAGCAGCCAGAGCATACGATGTTGCTGCTCTAGCACTTCGTGGCAGGTCGGCTTGCCTCAATTTCGCAGACTCCGCGCAGCGGCTTCCTCTGCCGGCGTCCACCGATCCCGATGAGATACGGCGAGTGGCGATGGAGGCGGTGGAGGCATTTGACGACGACAACGAGAACCAGCACGAGGTAGTCTGTAGCAGTATGGGAATGAAAGAAGATGAGAGGGCCGGTACGAGTATGGAATTAGAAAGTTATGTGAATGGAGTTTCGGAGTTTAAAGATCAGGCGTTGTTTAGCATGGCGGACGAGCCACTGAGATCTCCTCCTGCAGCTTATTCTCTGGGGACACATGGATGGGAAGAAGTGGACCTCGTCGATAATGAGGTGTCACTCTGGAGCTTTACCATTTGATTGATTTGAAGTAAGATGCGTTTCGTCTTACTTTTTCACAAGAAAAGTTAGAAAACGAGGAAACGCCTCCGGGTCCTTGAACCGAGTGAAGTGAGCATAACAAGTATCTGTCTTCACTCTCTATTTCTTTTTCTTTTTTTTTTTCTTTTTACATTTTTTGTGGTCTGGGAAGGCTCCGCGCATTGTGTAATTAGTTTGTCTTCTTCTAGATTCTCCAAGCTCAAGTGAACGAGCTTCAGTAGGGTTTCACAGAGAATTGGACAGGATTGAATTTTAACTTAATTCAAAGTTCAGCCTCTTTTATGAAAAAAAAAAATTAGACTAGTAAATTCATAGTTCGACCCAATTCAATTGTTACTTGAAGATTAAGACTGAACTTAATTCATGAGATTAAGAAACTGATTTTGGTAGTTTAGTATTCATTTAATTTTTTTTTTCCTTTTTTCTGATATAAAATGTAACAATTTATTTCATCCTAATAAATTTAATTAAGATAATAAATATGCTTATAATCATAAAAATCTATGACAATTTCTAATAACAATAACAAAAAATATTTCAATTACAACTCAAATTATTTAAATTCATAACTTTAACAATAGCAACAATAATATTTAATAAACTTTAACAATACATTCAATATACATCACAACAATAATTTAACAACAAATTAAGTTAAAATTATATTAAATATAAGGGCAAATTGTGAACAAATGAGATGTTGAGTTCAAACTTTAAATTATTTAAATATATTAAAAATTAAAATAATTTTATATAAAAGGGTTGGATCGAGTGGTTTGAGAGCTTGATCTTCTATCTAACCTAATCTAAAAAGTTAGCTTAATCTTTTTAATATCTTTAATCTTTTGGATCAATTTTTTTTATTGTGTGAAGACTTAAAAGTTGAAGTAGTCTTTAGATCTTGAATCAAGATAATACTTGACGTTATTCTTATCCACAAATATCCTCAACGTGGCCTTCACAATATTTTTATTCATTTGTTTTTTTTTTCACTTTCAACTTTATCACTCCCTATTCCTAATGTTTTTGTATCACACTTTTCTTTATACAAATAAATGATTTTTGATTAAGAACGAGAGCATTTAATTTACATCTAGATAACTGTATAATTTATGAGTTGTATATTATGCTATTATAATTAACTCTCTGTTCCTCCCCGTTTTATAATATTGTTGTTACCGATAAAGTCAATTAAATACAGTTCAAAATTATAATTTTTTTTAAAAAATTTAAAATGAATTTCATTTAATAATTAACAGAGAAAAGGGATATTTAAAAAAAAATAAAAAGTGAAATGATGAGTGTTATTTTAGAATAAGCTTTATTAACAAAATAATATTTTTTAAATATCTTTTATTAAGGAACATCGAATTATTTAAAAAAATTATTATAAAACAAGATAAAGGAACACATAATAGGATAAATGTTATTTATTTTAATATATTCATTGATATAAAACCAACATGAAACAAACTTAAGTGAGATTTAAAATGCTTCAAGTCTCAAGAGAGGGAGAAAGAAGAGGAAGATGGTGTAGAGGCTATTAGCAAGGGAAATAAAGATTAATCTATTTCTGCACAGCTTTTAAAATATTTAAACTTGATCCAATAATACTAAATATCATGATTATAAAATTAAATAATAAATCTATTTTTTGTCGCGTTCTGATAGTGAGATTATTATTTTTATTTACACTATGCATCTATTGACACAAAACAGCCATTAAAAACATAAAAGTGAATAGGACAGGAAATTAGGAACCAAGCAATAAAGTAAATAATATATTGCTTCCCTGTTCACCTAGAAATAAAATAAGTTAAATGTGAGCGATCCAATTTTAACCAGGACGTTTGTACCAAAATTCATTAATCCCGTCACTTTATCCTTTTTATACAGTGAAAGATAAATTTAATGGTCAAAATATGTTTCTTTCCACTGCATACCATCCATTTACCTTATTATTTTCTTCATAAATTCTTTCAACTAATCATTCTCGGGGGAAAAAGAGACAAGAAGAGGAATAGACCAACTAGAAGAGCGGTGGCTTGCTCTTCGAGCCCAAGGATTGTCGGCCCAACTGCGTGATGGACCAATTATTTCTATTTGCAGCTTCCTTTGTTGGGTATTTACTTTTGAGTTTCGACTTTTGATCTACATTGCTTCTCTGTTTTAACTCTTTCCAGTTTTTTTTTTAATTTTAAAAAAATTCTCTTCTCAGTTGCTCGAAGAAGGATAAGAAAAAATTTAACCTTTTCAAATTTTAATATTTTTATCCTCATTAAATTCTTTAAATAAAAATATTAATAATAAAATTTAATAATATTTATTAGGAGTAAAAGTAAAAATTTATTACATTTTAAGACAAAGTCAATGAGATTAAAGTTTTTCTTGATTCTAATAAAATATATTGAAAGTGATTTATAAATAAAATTAAAGAGAATAATAAAAACAAGTTTACACGTTATTTAACTACTTTATCTGGTCTGTATAAACAAATGGGTAATATTTAAGTGATTAGTTTTATGTGCTTAATATACTTTTATCCAATTAAATTAAAATTTTAATGTGTGTAATATTAATAACAAGAGTCTATTATAAAATAAATACTCTCTAAAAATTTTAAAAATCTTGGTTCAATTGAAAACTAGCACCTTAAGTGTATAAGTTTTTTATTAAAAAAATATTGTCTCACAAACATTTAATAAAGCTAGCTATTTCCTTTAATTACGTCCGAGATTGAATTTATTTTTCTGAAATGTCCTTTCATTAATGTTTAAACTTTGTTCCAGCTACTTTTATTGAATGCAATTGATCGATTTAAACCAATGGGCAGGATTAAAAAATTATTAAGATTGGAGGGAGTAATTTATATCTAACTTTGTCTAATTATTTGTTTTTTTTTTTTTTAACAAGCGCTGATATTTGTTCATCTCCGTGGAAACGGACAGTGACGGGCGGCGTTTTTTTTTATAACTGTTAAGGGCATTTTAGGTATTTTGTTATTGTTAATTTTGTGAAGTTAATTACCTTCCTCTTCATTGCATGCCATATGTTTCTGTCGCTAGAGTTAGGAATAAGAGACAAACTTGATGAACCGTACATTTAAATCTATTTTTATAAATATTTAAATTTACAAAACAGTCTATTTTTAAGGAAATTGAGCCTTCTAAGCTCAGCTTTGTTAAGTTCAGAAAAAACACAGACTCTGGCTCGAGTGGCATGTGAAGCCAAGATCTTCTTGGTTTTTTTTTTTTTTTTTGCTTACTAAATTCATTGTTTTGTTTGAGGAAAAACCTTAAAGCTGAGTCAGTTGTGCACACTGGACGCGGACACTCCTAACTCCACAGCCAAGCTCTCCACTCTCGGCCTCTCATCTAAGCTCTTGTCCCTCTTGGTCTCGCCACTCGCCAATCCCAGTCGGCAATAACCAGTCGCCTCTCCAGTCTCCTCCTTCTCTCTTCTCGACACACGATAGTTAACAATCCAACTGAGCTCTCAACTCTCGCCCCTCACGCTCGACTACAGAGTGCATAGAGTGCAGACTGCAATTCAGACGCCCCTTGCCCTTTGCCTCTCATACTCGACTGCAGAGTGCGAATCGCGATCCAAACGCCCCTCACCTCTCAGACTTGATTGCAGAGTACAGACTGCTTTAGGTCTCGCAATGCTCGCTTTTAGGTCTCGCCGTTCAATTCATATCTCTGCTTTACCTGTTATAAATACCAAATATTGAAGCTCACTTTCTCTTTGATTCAAGTCTGTTCTTGCTATTCATGCACTTTAAATTTGATCCTCTTCGAGTCTCCTTATCATTGCGACCATGGCATGTTTTATGCTAAATTTGAGCCACGGCGTTGTTTTTATTTGATTCAAGTCTCCTTGTATATTTAATATTAGAGTTAAGAATAAAGTTCCAGCTTGAAGTATCGCTTATTTAAACTCATTTTTATAAAAATTTAAACTTAAAAAAAAATATTTTTTTTTTAAAATTGAGCTTTTAAACCCGGCTTTGGAAAAATAAACTAAGGTTTGAGCAGTCCTTTTAAACTCGTTTTTATTTTTTAAAAAAAAAAAATATTTTTAATTTGTAAATTAAATTTAAACTTTAGAATATATGTTTATACATTAAAATTAAAATTTTATTATTTATTTTTAATTTTTAAACATTATAATTTATATTTTTTAAAAATATATGAAATATTATAATTAAAAAATTTAACTTTTAAAGCTTTCAATAAATAAATAAATAATAATAAAGGCTTACGAATCTTAAACCTTTTATATAAAAAATTAAACTTTAAAAAATGAGACATTTTAAAAAAATCAAATTTAAGGGCCTAAGTTCATAAAAGTCGAGCCTGCCCGTTTTTCAACTTTACTTAATATTGCTTTCAAATTTTAAGTTTAACATTTCTTAGTATATGTTTAATTATTTTATTTTAATTTTTTTTAAAAAGGAGTTGTGAGCCTGACCTTAAGTCATTTGAATAAGGATCGAGCACTAAAAAAAATAAAAAATAAAAAACCAAATTTAATGATAGAGCCTACCTCTTTCCCAGCTCTATCTATCACCTAATAATTAGTTTTGTAGCCTTGGCATATTCAATGCCTCTACTTTCCATCAAAACACTGTATTTGTCTACCAAACAAACCCCTAGTGTGGGAAAGTGGACGGCCATGGAGAGGTCGAGGAAAACCCAAATACACCCGGAACGTCCAAGCAAGACAAAATTAAAATCTGCAGTAGAATATGTAACACACCAAAATTTTTTTTTAAAATAATTTAACTCAACCATAGTTGGGTTACAGCCACCCAACACATTTTTATATCAATAAATTTCAATATAAAATATTTTATAATCGGCTTCAACTCACACACTATAACATTTCAGATAAATTTTTACCTCCCACATGCCATTAGGCTAAATCACATTTGTCCATCCTTATACTCCCAACAAGTAAAATAAGCAATTTAATCAATTTTCAACACAAGCCAGTTATTTGACCTTATAATCATGCCATTTTAACCAATCCAAAGTAAACCAAATATTAAAATTACAGTCATCCAAATTGTACCAAAAATAGAAATAGTTTGAAAGGCATGATTACATTTATATATTCATATAATTGACAATAAACAAAAAGCCCTAATATTGGCAATATAATACATTATAAATCATAAATTAAATACCCAAAAGAGACAGTGGATCTATACCACTAAGCCTCTGGGACTCCTCCACGTGTCACTCTTGGCTCTTCTCCTGAAAATTGTTAACCACATAATGAGACTCAAAAGTCCCAGTAACCAAAGCCAATTTATGATAGTGTATACAAACAGTTAAGTGTGTGCTTACTAAGTGAGAATTAAAAATA